AGTGTGTCCACCGCACACTGCCAATTAGTACTGAAGTGCTTGCATTTCAGGGCGCTGATCAAGGCATTTGAATTGATCCTTTGTGCTTCTGGGCACCGTGAGGTTAGGTCATTTTAACGAGAGGTACTCACTCTCACACACAGTTCGGCGTAATAGTTTTACGCGCAGTAGTTTCAACAATTTGCACGCCATGAGTTTGGTCATTGCTTTGAGGGCATTCGCAGTGTATGATATGATTTATTTACTTATACATTTTCTATTAGTTTAAAAACATTTCAACCGTTATTTTACGTTGAAAAAATTTAAGATTTTGCAACGCTTAAACACGTCTTTTGAATGTCCTAATTGTATTTTTTCGTGTAATTCTTACTTATCCACTTACAACTAGCAAAATATTTTTCTAAAGTCCAAATATCAATTTGTGGTTAATTTTATAAAAAAAAAACACACATACTAACACAATTACCACCTACGATATACTTACACAGCGCCATACACGCACGTACATATGTAAGTATTTTGTTAACACGTCGCACCTCCTTGCCAACACACATCAAAAGTACCTAAATATTTGTTGTTATCGTTAAATATTCATATCATTGTTACCCGTAATTCAATTCCAATTCATATAATTTTAACTTAGCAACATTAAGCCAACTTTTATTTAACAAAAAAATAAAAGCGAAAACATAAAATTTGTAATAGATAACACTCACAAAACAAAGTAATAATAAAAAAGGAATGCATACACTAATTATTAACTAATTACAGATGTAAAATAAAATAATTATGTATTAAATTTTGTGAATTTCATGTGTACAAGAATCTTATGTGTAATTTTAAAAGTAATCTAAGATCAATGAAACCAAATGCAGCAAACAAACTTCATTTGCAACTAAATAAACGTTGAAGCAAACTGCATCAGAAAAAATTAAAATGGTAATAAATAATAAAGAATGAACACAATTGCAAAAGAAAAGTCAAAATAAAATAGTTTGAATTTATTTTTAAAGTTGTATTGGTATGGAAAACCACTAAGGCATAATTGTCCATTCAACTTAATGCCTAACGGTTAATGCCTGACAGGTAAGACGAGACTGACACTTAGGTGAGTGGCAATCGCGGTTGGCATGCAGGCAGTTGGGTCGAGCAAGTAGACATGTCCGATTCTCGCGGTTTTCTTCTCCATCTGCCTCCTTTGCCTTTTAGCCGAGCGCCCGTTTGAGTATTAACAATCAAGGCTTCTCCGTACGGGTACTCTTCTTCTCTATCTCTGATAGATGTGTCCGTCTCGAAGGAAGAGTAGGGCCATATAGCATCTCGACATCCTTCACAACCCTGGTTTTTTCCAGACTGCTTTGAAAGTAGAGCGGCCTAGGCCTAATTCAAAACAGGCTTTCCATTGACAAAGTCAACGTACCGTCAACCACCAATAGCTCGCTTCCACCGAAACTCTGAGTGCCTGTGCCAATCACGAAGAACGATGATCTTTGGGCCTACACATCCGACGAGTCGGCGAGCGAGTTCCAGCTTGCTGGTTGCATCACGCAGAGATACATATGTATGGAGTTGGTTTCACAATGAGGCTGGTAGCATTTTATCTTGATTGCCAAAGGTAACCACCACTCAATAGATGGCTTCCTGTCTTAGTTGTGAAGAAATATCTAACAGTAGTTTAATTAAAGGTAAGTATGTGTGTAGGGGTGCGATTTTAGTATGGTGCGCTGAGAGAGAAATCCCGCCTCTACAACAAAACATATGTTTCTTTTCGGTTTTTCATCGCCAGTAAAACACTTTTTGTGCTTTGTAGCTGTCGGTATTCTTGAGTTGGCTAGAAGGAAAATGAGCGCTCCTACGCTGGCTATAAAGAACGCCTAGTGATAGAAGCGTCATGTATCTATTCCGTATTTTATGTGCATACACTATAGTGACCAAGGTTTTTTGATTTACGCTCCGGTTAAATTAAATTCAATGCCTCAGAGAAAACTTAGTGACCATAAGAGCAATAGCACTCAATAGCAACCAATATTCACCTCATATGTAATTTTCATTATCCAATGATCGAATCTAAACCAAATTACGGGTACAAAGTTATGCGGTAGCATACATAAAAAATAAAAAAATATTCCTACCCCTTTTTTGAAGTCGGTTAAAAATGTTTGAGTTCTTTGTAAATTTTATGTAAATAAAGTGCATTTTATGAAACTTTAGAAAGTGTATGTCTTTATTACATACTTGCATAAATGTATTTTAGAGAGCATATTTTCTGAAAAGAATTTACAGTATTTTCTGGTGACATATCTCCAGAAGTATAAATCCCTCCGCAAATATATTTCTGGCTGCGCCCCTATTTGATACCTAATTTCTGGTAATCCAACTAACAGTGCAGATCTTAAAATTTTTTAGACAGGTGGCAATTTTATAGGAATTTAAAGTGCTAAAGATAATATTTCTATCGATAAAGATTATACTTAAAAAATCTCCTCTAAATCTGTTTAGTAGTTTTTGAGATAAGCGTGGTCAAAATATCCCAACTTTCCTTTATACTATGTATAGGAGATAGTAATTTTTAAATAGGTGGCAACCCTATTCAAAAAATGAAAGCTTTTGTGCAGGTGAAGGCCATACCTTTTCATTTGGTATCTCATTTTGTAATCCAAAGAATGGCGAAAATCTTTTAACTTTTTACTAGGTGGCAACCCTACTCAAAAAAATAATATATTATTGCACATGCAGAGGCTAAGTCTTTTCGATTGGTAGTGATTATGATTGAATATAGTAATTTTATTAACAGGTGGCTGCCCTATTCAAAAAAATAAAACATTAGTCCTTTTCTACAGGCCAATCTCTTTTATTTTACACCTCATATTTTGTAATCCAACGAACGGTGCGGATCTTATAGTTTTTTTTAGACAGGTGACAATCCTATTAAAATTCTAAATAAAAAAGGTCACTCTCCTATCGATACAGAGTATATTGAAGGAAATCTTGTCGAAATCCGTCCAAGAGTTTTCGAGATAAGCGCGTACAAAGAATCTTGGCTTTCCTTTATACTATGTATAGATAGATATAGATATATAATATATATTGTCCACAAAATAATAGGAGTGCGATATATTGACCAGTTTTGGCTACAGAAGTTTAGCTAGTTTTACAACAAACACCATATAAATTTGGATTTCAAACTTTGTACTAAAATTATAAAAAATCTACAAATCTCCCCAAAATTTCACACTTTTTAATCAGAATATTTGGAAAAAATTTTGGTACGCAATTTTTGGCCCATTTAATTATAGTATAACGCAGTGTCCTTCATATAAAAGAAATTTGTCAAAACATACTTTGTAAAGAAAAAACTTAAAAATCCTTCAACCAAAAAAAATCTCAAAAATCAGCAAGATTTTTTTAGCAACCTGAAGCTTGCACCTTGTTATGCCATGATTAAAAGGGCTACAAAACTGTATACCACCACATTTGTTTTCTAAAGTTTCTGATTAAAAAGTTTTTAATTTTGGTGAAAATTTGCGAAATTTTTATAAATTTTGTACAAAATTTTAAGTCTGAAATTATATGGTGTCTGTTGTATGGCCAGCTAGACTTTTGTAATAAAATAATAAAAATTAAATAAACAAAAGACAAATCATAAAAACTGGTCAAAATATCGCATTCCTTTTATTTTTGCACCACTAAACGTCGCTGCGCTAGTACTTTTTTCGCCATAGCAAATAGTAATACACTCAAGGCAATTAAAACAATGTCAAATATACATACATATATTTTCTGTCAACTTTATTTATTTAATATTAATTTATGTTTTTTTTTACGTTAGCGCTTATTAATTATTTTCGAGCTTATAATGCGACTTTTTATCGGTATACGATGTTACTATTATGTGAACCATTAACTTATATCACATTACAATAAATTAATATTATTTTGTAAATTTTAAATATTTATTAGCTTTTAATTTTTTATTTTTATTATACATAACTAACACAATTACGCAAAGATTTGCACTCAATTCCATCGATAAAAAAAGTTATTATTTAACATTTAATTATTATAAATTGTAACATACACTTTTTGCATATCTACTTAATGACAAAATTCTGTTTGTTTTTGTTGTTGGTGTCATATATTGCAATACTTTATAGTAGTGTGAAAAAAGTGTGTTAAAAAGTTAATAATAAATCCTTTACAAAACATTTGTTACGTCCATTAATTTTTATATTAAAATATTTATGTACTATCCAAATCACATACACATACATACACAAAGCCATTCAAAAAGATTTCGTTACTCAAGCATGGCATAAGAATAGAGCATATTGAAGCAGTAAACAAATGAGGAAGAAATAAACAAAAAATATATTCATTAGACGAAGAATTCGTAAGGAAATTCGAGTACGTTTAAAGTAACTGGTTGAAAATGGTGAATCACTTTTGCAGTTATGGTAATTGCCTTGTATTTTTCGAACAGCACTCACTTTTTGTGAGAAAAGTTTTCTGTGTGTCATCCGAATTGATTTCATTACTGCATGCAGTGCCTAAAAGTATGCAATAATTTATTGAGGATGAAAGTCGTTCCTTACAAATAAGTGACAGACTTTCGAGATGCTAGATTTTATATAGAAACATTTGTATTTTTCGTTTTGCTTACGTAAAGAAGGTGAAAAAAAAGTTTACTCATTATTGTTTCAAAAATGTGTTAAAACTACACTCGGACTAAAAGTAACGCTTGTCGCCGAACATGCTGAAGTTGAACTCTTAGTGATTGTATTTTTAGTTAAAGTAAATAGACTTGAATATTTCATTGTGAAACCAGTTACTATTTGTGCTTGTCATGGTAGAAACAACATTCACGCACACACCTATATTTTAAAGTTACAATTAGAGAAATTTAGTTAATATAACCTCAAAACATTAAAGTAATAGTTGCTTTTGCTCACAAAATATGCACATAAGACTTTAAAAGAAATCTATTTTAACAGATGAACTTGTTTTTTTTTTTTTGTATAGCCTAAAACTACAGTTATTTTACTTAAATCGAGCTAAAAAGTCAGTCGTTTTTTCCAATTGAAAATAATCAGAAAAACTTCTTCTCTACGCTTCATAAAAGTATACTTATAGTATATTTAGTTATTGGACGCGGTCACTTTCCAGGTACGGCGACATGCTTTTTATTTAATCGCTAAGTATCAGTGACTCTGTGAACTGCACGCTGCGCTCTCCAGCTGCACGCGAGTTGTTGTTGTTGCTACGGCTGTTGTCGAAGAAGCTGCGGCTGCGGCTGCGGCTGCCGCTGCCGCTGCTATAGTACTAGTTTGAGCTGAAGTTGCTGCCACCACACCAGGAGGCGTTGTCACTGCAGTACCATTTGGTGTTGTTACGGCTACGGCGGCCATTGTGGGTGGCATTAGCGCTGCGGCGCCGAGTGAACTTAATGTTGTGCTGGAAGCCGCCTTTTGGTTGGGGAATAGTACTGAGTAGGCAGGTGGTGGATCGAGTTCCTCGTAATTGGGTGGTGCGGTGTTGCTCGATTGAAGATCACTGCCAGCGCCTGCGCCGCCAGTCTGCATTGCTGCTTCGCGTTCATTGTTGGTTGCGTGTTGGGAGGCAGAGGCTGAAAGTGAACGGATGGTTTGAATGTGAAAGCTTAAGCGACAACAGCAAACTGGAAGGAAGGAAGAAGGAAGGCGACGGAGCAGAGATTTAGTTTTTTATTGAGACGTGGAATTTGCGCAGTGGGTTAATGGATTAAATTTTGAACATTTGATTAAAATGAATTAAGACCAGTTTAACGGTAGATTTTGGTGGAAAGCGTTCAATAAAAAGTTAAAAATATGACGTATTTGAATTGGAGAAAGAATGAAATTTAATAAAATTACAATTGTGGATGTTAATGAAATGTGGATAACATTTATTTAAATAGATTAGTTGGGTTGTGAGTTGCATTGGTTGGTAGATTGCATTAAAGACAAATTATAGTTGTAAATCGTATTTAGGTGATAATATTTCTCAATCGCATGAAATTTGTGGATTTTTTATGTGGAAGATATTTGTGGATCGTATTGCAATTGGCATAGTATTGGAACGAATATGGTTTATGGAACGCATTGAGGTAAGGAGAGTTTGTCACATTAAATTTGTGGATCGTATTGAAATGCGGATCGTGTTTTGTTACGTGTTTAAATTTGGACAGTATTATATTATATAACATTATTAGGTCACCAAAGGTTTATTGATTGTATTGAATTGTGGATGGTATCAGGTTGGATGACGATTGTAAATTGAATATTAAGCGATTAGGAGAATGTAAGAGAACATCATTAAAAAAAATTATAAAAATAATAAAAATTTTTTGAAAATATTAGTAAGAGTGTGCGTGTGTGGATAAAGTGGAATGTAGCGTGTTGTTTACAATTGTTATTGAATGTGATGAGCGATTTGAGAAAAAAAAAACGGAAAATAAAGACGATTATTTAACAGAAATAAGCAACGACAACTTCAAGCTCTGCAAGCAAAAGCACCCAAAGCCCACCAAACTTACCCCAAAGTCCACAAATCAGCAAAGCGCCACCACACAGTAGCATGCCCAGCATCAAATAACCCCACGGGCCATATTTCGACAAATCCGAATTGAGACCCGAACGTGTCGAATTGCGTCGATGGTGGTGGCCGCCAGTGTTTTCTGTGCTATTTTCAGCTTGCGCTGTGGCCGCCACTGTACTATTGCCACCTGTATTGGTATCATTCGCCGCTTGGCCCATCTGCTTCGTGTCCACTTTACGCAGGGTGGTGCTATTCACCACACCACTGCTGCCATTACCCTCCTGCGCAGATTGAGCTGTCTCTGCAGTGATAGCTGTGGTTGTAGTCTTCTCGCCATATGCCGGCACATCGAAGGCAAACAAGTTACGAAAAACCTCCAATGCAAAATGCTCAAAAATATCTGTTTCCATGGCAGGAGGAATGGGTTCACCGTAGCGGCGTCGCTTCCAACACATTTCATAATCCTCATCGCTGTCGTATTCATTGCTTATCGGACAGTGGCGGATGCCGTCGCAGACAAGCTCTTTGGAAATGCAAAGTATGGGTTCATCGCTGCAATTGTTGGATGCGAAATGGAAGCGAAAAAAATTTATTATTTTATGTTAAAACCAAAACTTACAAATTTTTAATTAGCTTACCCGATCCTTAAGCACTGATGCTTATTCTCATTGCGACACTGTTCGCCCTTGCCCAAAGCTGTGACCATCAACTTGGAATGCAACGTGTGTTGGCCGTGTTCCCAAACAATTCGCACGCGCCCATGAAACAAACGCACCGGATCCTCCATATCGGGAGCTGTGTCTTCCAATTGGCAGGGATCTAGACGCCATTGCGGTGTGTGGAAGTCCAAAGAGCTGAACTGTGTAAATTATAAATACAAAAAAATTATAAAAAGTTTGTGTCAGTGATATTGTTATGCCAGACAGTTGTTGATTACAAGATATTTACAGAGAAACGCTTGTAATTGGGATAATGTTGGAAGATCGCGCATTGAAATAGATGTAAATATTATTATTTGTGAGAAAAAAAGGGGCGCAGTAAAAACATTTTTAACTTATTTGAGAGCGTCTCCGCTATTCAAGATTTATGTACGTGTCTCAAATAAATACATGAAATTACAAAAATATATTCCAGAATGAATTTTATTGTATCGCGTATTTAGTATTTACTTACATATACATATATGTAAATATAACGAAAAACTTGTTATTCTACACGCGCTTGAAGCAAGACGCAATACGACACAAACGTGGCTTGTTTTGTACAGAGCCTGGGCTATGGAAGAATATGATTAAAATGCGTAGTAAGATCGTAAAAGTGGAAACAGCGGTTTTGAAGAAAAGTAAATTTCCTTAAGTTCATAAAGGGTTTGTGTGTCGAAACTAAACTTTTTCGAAGTGAAAACTTCTTTAGCGACGGCAGTGATTTCAATTTCGATAAAACAAAAACACGAGGCCAATACGCGTTTGTATGCTAAGTGCGTAGATACATGTATGTATGTATGTATGTCACTGCAAAAAATTCAAGTGAAGTTTTGCAAGTTGAAGTGATTTCCTTTTCGGTTTCTTTGTTTTGTTATTATCTACAAGTAAAAAGTCCGCCTAAGTGGACAAAAATCGAAAAATTCGTTGGCTACAATGTGAACGTGTATTTGGTATTTTTGTAAAGGTAATTTATCCACTAAAAATAATTAAATACAAATTTCCCTATAAAATAAATTATATGCCGCCAGGAAGCCACTAAAATCGACAAATTTTATACTAAGAATATTAATAAAAGCATAGCCATGCGTAAGCTCTTCCCGGAAATAAATGTCAAAAATATATTCTTTGAAATAAAATGTTGGTTTGACGTTTTTTATTTCCATATACATAGTAGAGAGCTACAGGATTAACAATTTTGGAATAAGATTAAACACAGGGTGTCCCTGCGGTATTCCAGAAAAACAATGTTTTTCAATCAAAATTTCAAAAAAAATGGTAAATTTTAATGGAATGAATAAAAAGCATATGTAAAAATATGTTATCTTTTATTATTTTATTAAATAGCACGGGTTGTTAGCTTTCGAAAGAAGAAATAAAAACTTGCCAACTTTTTGGACTTTTTGAAGTAATGCGTTTTATGCTAATGCATTTTTTGGCAGTGCCATCAGATCTGCACAACTCGTTCTATTTTTAAAAATGAAAAGTCGGATTAAAAATCTTGACCTGTAGACAATAGAGGTTTATTTTTTATTAAAGAGTTGCCAGCTGTTAAAAAATTAAATTAAAATTTTTAAATAAGTTAAATGAATTATTAAGAGATGGGTATCAATCGAAATGTGTATGAAAAGGGTTTATTTCTTAACTAAAAGTAGAGGGTTGCCACCTGTTAAAAGAAAATTCCATGGAATTAAAGGAATTAGGTTATTGAAATAGATAGGTATCACCATATGGGAGTCAGACGAAAGAGGTTTAAGAAGGTTTTGAGCTTGCAAAGTTTACGAAGAGGGTTGCCACCTGTTTTTAAAGTGAAATTTAGTTAAACCAAAATAATAATTATGTCAAACTAATTATTTACGACATCGTTTTTGTTGTTTTATTACAAATACATACATACATTGTCAATCAGTGATTTGTTCTGATTACATTCTTTTTAAATTGCCGAACTCTTAAATTAACTCAGGAATGTTTTTACTCTTCACTTATTTCTTGATTAATATCCCATTTATTATTTTATTTTGACCGAGCGCCACTTTTGAATGGTACGTTCTATGTGAGCTTAAATTTGTTGTCTCCAAACCAAATTTGATAAGGGATGACGGAAAACTCTTTTTACCCTTTCCAACACACTTCACAGTCAGCCTCTTCTATGCCTTTCTATTATCTTGTTATGTGGGCAGGTTTCGTAATAACATCGCGTTTTGGAGATCACGATGCCTATTGGTGATTCTAAATCATTTGCTGCAAATGATTATAGAATACCTTTGTGGATAGCTTCTCAAAAGTTCAACTGTCCATCTGAGCTTTGTTTTCCACGCTAGCATCGATCACTTATGTAGTTGACTTAGAATGTGTTTTATATAGAGACTTGAATGCGTTGGAATAGTTTATCTTACTATACATAGTTTAACACCACGAGTGCCTGTTTTCTTACTATTAATAAATGAGGGCGTTGCCTACAGCAATTCCAGCTGGTATGTTTTACGTTAGATAAATGCATGTGTCCGGAATAAATATTTTGCATAAAAATAGATGACAGATGGGTACACGTGACCCCATATATGTATGTATGTATGTTTATCTAGACTTTCGCGTTCAGTTGTCACAAACACATAGTGACATTTGTAACAGCTGTCTGTCTGCACTCATTTAATTTCATATCATTTCATATGCAAACGAGATGGGTAGTGCGCGCACAACCTTGAAATGAAAATTTAAATAAAAATAAAATATGGATAGTTGTGTCTGTCAAGTAATAGAAAAAAAAGAAAGACAGTACATTGTAATAAAAAAATTCAATTAAAAAGAAAATTAAAAAAAAAAACAACAAAGCGGCAGTAGTGCTAAAAATAAACACTTGCTGCAAAAAATTAATGAAATATGTATATAAAGTAAGGAATATATTTCCATTACATATTTACACGTCGTAGTAAATAAAACCATAAATAACAGCTAAAAGTTCAATTTGAATTTGTGACGCCATGACGAACGCGTGGGGCTAGATCACACGTACATACATACATATATCGTTATGAACATACATATGTATTCATTTACGTATAGCCTGCGACACAACGATAGCCACGCGACAGTTTGACCAGCTTTGACTTTTTTTTGTTCTTTTTTTACTGTTCATTAATTTTTTTGTATAGCTCATAATTAAAAAAGGCGTATAAATATAAATACAAACTTTATACAAAAATTATAAAAACTTTACAAAGTTCCGTCAGAATTCCAAACTAATACATCGCGCGGTTTTACTTTATTTAGCCCATAGTTTTGTGAGTATATTGACTATTTCGTGTGATTTGAAATTTTTTGGTTTTTGTCGAACGGTGTAATGTGTTCACTGTTTTATTTATGAAAATAAAATGTGTCGGCGGGATTTCTTAGAAACTCAATTAAACTAAAATTAAATGATCATTTCAAATTTTTTTCTAGAAATTCTAAATAAAAAGTTTTGCATTTTGTTAAAATTTATATGATTTTAAACAAACAAAATAACAAATATTTTTTAAGCAAACAACAAAAGAGACTTCAATTCTCATATAAAAATTTAAGATTATCATTAATCTCTTCATGATCCAATGATCGGATTTAAACCAAATTAGAATGGGACCACCTGTGAGATAATACCTTTCCTTTAAAACAAAAAAAAAAATATAAAAATATTCCAACGAATTGATAACCTTCCTCCTTTTTGTGAAGTCGTTTAAAAATGGTCAAAACTGGTCAAAATGTGGCGGATATGTATAATTACCCTGCAGTGAAAAGCCAAACCAGTGAGTACAAATACCAGTTCATTAACTAGTATGTGCTAAAGCGATGGCCTACCAGTTCGACAATTTCTAAGAACTTAAACGTTCAGCGACATCTGCCTTTATATATAAATAATAAATTTGAAGATATAATTTCATTGTAGAAAAAACATGCATGGAAAGAAACACTTGTGCCATAAAACTAGAAAATAATAAAAATATTTTTGTTTAATTATATTAAAAATTACAATAAAAACCCTGGATAAAAACAGTTTCCNATAATAAAAATATTTTTTTTTAATTATATTAAAAATTACAATAAAAACCCTGGATAAAAACAGTTTCCCAGGGATTGAACCGCGGACCTCAGTAATACCACGCCACTGCTCTGCTCTGTCGATCATTGCGACTGTTGGACCACCGTGAACAAAATGGCATACTTATGATTTTCACGGGGAATGAATTGCCAAACGATCTCATCGACTGGTATGGTGCTGCTAGCATTTCTCTTATGTAGTAGATGCTGATGCATATCCCGACAATTGACATCTTGTAGGACATCGCCATGTTGAAATACCAGTTACTAACCTTAAAAAACGATGGAACGTGAACCGGTTGGGCTGAAAAGCAAACTGGTAGTATTCTAGTGCACAACTAATAGCTTTTCCTGCAGGGTAGTATGTCAATAAGTCATGTTATAGTGTTCAACGTTTTAAACCATTTACATGCGATGAATAAATTTTTACTTCACTAGGCACACGCCTCGTGGGCGGCTGGGGTGTGGTATGCCAACATTCACATGCCGTATATATAACTACATATATGTGTGTATGTATGTATG